GGCGACGGATGAAGGACGGGGGAGGGTGGGACGAGTGCAGTTAGTGGTTCGGGGTGCCTCGGAGAGACATAAGGGATCGTTGGCGACAAACTAGACGGGACGAGGAACCGTGACGTCGTAGTGAGCAGAGCATTGCCAACGAAGCTGACGTACCCTGTACCACATTGTCATGTAAAGGTTTGTAAATACTTGCCTTTCCTGCATAAACCACTGTGGATCGTTAATTCGATCGTCCAATTACAACAGGATCTGACCTTAATTTAAATGTTGAGACGAGAAAGAAATGATTATATATTCAACAGATTTAGATTGGGTAATGTTGGACGTTACAATGTAAAAAGAAAGTATGTTATTACCAAAGTAGTGTAAACTTTCATAAAATCCCTTTATCAAAGGAACATGCGCTCTTTAGTTTAACTACTTTTTCCGAACCTATGGACGACAATTATTCCCAACCTACGAATCCTACTAATAATATACGACGAAATGTGATAAAATTAAGATCAAAGAGGTCTAGATTAAAGAGAACATATTGATGTGGATTTTATTTCTCCCGTATAAAGTTGATGTAAAACGAAATAAATTACCGTTTCCATTACGTCTTCCGTACGACGTCTTATAAAAAAAGTATAACGCTAAGACGCTATCAAACAGACAAATATTTTCCTTTTTTTTCCAAAACCTTATATCGCCAACCATCATGAATTCGTAGAATCACCGGATTAGTCCTATGTTGTAGTTCTATGTTTTTTACTGAGGATTTTACGAGGACTTTCTGCAAAAGAAAATGTCTATGTTTTATTTTTAGTTCTTTGAGCTTTCTACTGCAGTTTTTCATTAACAATTTTTTACTTTTTTATATAAATCTTGTATCACACGACCATGTCGAATTTCGAAGACCACCGGGTGTTATGCATAATGTTGTTCTATTTTTTCAATTACTTTTTCTTCACTAAAAACCACTGCAGTAGACGTTATGTATCCTTCACCAACGACATTTAGAGGTTTACCACAGGAGCAATCGTTAAATCCGAGACTCAAATGACCCTTGTTCCACCGCCTATTCAGGAATAAAACTGAACTTAAAGGAAAAAAGGAAATTAAAAGGAGAGTGACGTGAGGAGTAGGGAGGTCCGGAGGTAGGTAACTCGGTAGTCGCAGAAGGTAGGGACGGTAGGGCAGTGTTGGTAGAAGGAGAGCGCGGAGAGTGAAGGAGGAAGACATAGTTAGAGGTCTTGTGTCACCGTTGAGGAGGGGGTTATAGTTGTAGGAGGTCGGAAAGCTTGGGGATGTAACCCCCTCCTTCTTTTCTTGGTTGTTCCTCTCCCCCCCCCAGCGGTGCCTAGCAGGCGCAGCGGCGCTGACCCCATGGGAGGGGTCTTGGTGTTGACCGGGGAGGGTGGTCCCGCCCGGAGTCGAACGTGAGCCTGTCCACGCCGTGTGCGGTCCTGTTGAAGGACCCAGACGACGGGGCACCTCCGCCTCCCACGCCCCGCCAGGCGGAGACGCCGAGGGGGCGGACAGCGACCGTCCTTGACTGGCACGTGAGGGACGGTTCATGTCTCCTCGCTCGTCAGGTGGTACCTTTGCCCGCGGTCGCTTTTTTAGCGCGTCCGGCCCCTAACACCCCGTCGCTGCCCTGCTCCCGGGCTTTTTTCCAGCGTGGTTACCTCTTTCGGACCCGTGAGTGGTCTACTGCGCGACAGCCTCCTGCGACTCCAGGTTTCCTTTGTGAGTGAAGAGGTACTACCGAGGATGTTTGGAGGATTTCCTAGAAAACATACACACAGCGTGAGGCACCTTATCCCTGGAGCGACAAAACGAAAAGGCGCAAACGTGATAGCACGCAGGATATAATAAATCGTGTAACCCTACCGTTCCTTTAGTTTCAACATCTATAACCAAATCACTGGCAAAAAGGTTAACAAAATCGGATCCCCGCCGAGTAATTCGCCGCGGCCCGACCAAAGTACTTTCCGTACCAATCTCTGTTGGTTTCAACACGGCAGCAAGCACAGCAACGTCCGGTCGTCGAGAAGGGTTCTTGAGACTCTCACACTCTGCGGACACACCTGAGGCCGAAGAGTCAAAGAAAAAGTTCTTCGTCCAGGAGCGGAACTACGCATTGAGAAAGTAAGATTTTAAGCGTAAAAATCTTTTACACAATAACAGAGAAGAGAGGCGGCAGCGATTACATCTATTTCCCTTACGTCACCACAATCCCGACGAAACATTTCGAAGGTTTCAATTTAAGTGTCTCCCCCGTAAAGACGAAAATTACAAATACGGGCCGCCCCCGCGGTTTTTACAATCGCAAACAACTGTCTCACTACAGAATCTGAAAAGGTTTTTATTCCTCTTTTTTGCGGTAAGTTTCGTTCAACCACAATAAAAAACTCATTACCTAATAAGTCGGTTCGAGTATCAGTTTACAAATCGGTTTTTTACCGAGTAAACGTCACATGACCCTGGTACGGTCACCTTACGTGAACAACTCCTCCATCAAGACGTGGGTAATCTAAGACACACAGCAAGGTGAAACCTCTCAGATTCGCTACATTTAGGGCACATGATACGGTTAAAATTACTGCCAGGGTGAGACAATTCAATTTCTTGTGGGTATATTTTACTTCGTATCATAGAGCTCTTCTGGTTGTTCATAGAGTTCTACGGTAAATTTTCTTATCTAATAACAATTTCCTCGCATGGATCAGGTACAGGATATGAGCTTTGTTACACCCAAAATTTAGTTGCAAAGACTTTTCTTTTTCGTCAAAACGTATTTCTTTAATCCTTAAATTTTTTTGAAGGGAAAAACTCCTAATTATCGCTTTACGTTACTCTAGTGGTCTGACAAAATTATTCACCAAAAGTCGAAGGGACGGAAGATTGACAAACGTAAAGTTTAATCTCCACTAAAAACCGGCCGAAATATTCTGGTTTTACTAATAAGTTAGTTAGTAGTCTAAATTAGTTACTATTTTTATACGGACCAACGTTGGATTTACCTAGTTGCTGAATACACCGAATCATTTTCTCAAATTTCTCGACGAAAATAAGTGGTGATGTGTGAGGGACGTCGACACAGTGGCAAGAGGAAACTTGAGGTGCGTCATACAACTCGCTAAACACAATTATAGGTTTTAACAAGGCAGACAATTTATAAAAAGCTGAAAACCCTCAACTCTAGGTTGACTACAATGTTCTGCAAAGGGACAAAACAGTACCCCCGACCAACACCACGAAAAGTCAAAAATAACTACAATAAAGTGTCACTACTCTACGAAGATTTCCTCCATGTTACACAACAATGGTACTGAAAAATACTTTTTGCACACGTGGCGCGACGTACGTGTCGTTGGGGGGGGGTGACGACACAAAGGACAAATGGTTTTTTCTACCCATCTTCACGGACGCAACAATACAGATTTCTCAATATTTTCTCTAAACTCCGACAAGGGAAAAAATAACACTAAGGATCCTGGTTCCACGAGCGCAAATAATTTTATCGTCAAAATTTTAAACACCTACCTTGACGTACATCCACAGAAAGAACGGTTTGTCCAGCTAACTTCTCTTCGTCAACCACGTTTCTCGTACATATCTCGGGTTCATGCCATTAATTCACGTTAACTCATTAACCTGAATGCTCATAAAGGTACATCACGAGAAACATCGACAAATAACGGTGTTGTACTAATTATGCGAAATAATCGCATGGTCTACACCTCTTACTACACTTTATTATTACGTTCCCCAATTTAGTCTCGAAATCAGGTGGGACGCAGCTTCTAGTGTGTGTTCGTGGGATATGTTTCAGTAGTTCTGGATCGACGTGGAATGTCGAAACTCCTGTGAAAGTACCTAGTTAGTTAAATCACCTGACCCGACAATCCGTCTCGTCCAAGGTTGATAGACTCAGAAGATGCGTGCTTTAAAGTAATTAAAAATAAGCGGACCATCAACAACGGCCGGAAGCAGGGGAGGGCGTAACTTGTTAACGTCTTTGAGGCAAGTTGTAGTTTGCAGCGTCGGAGCTAGCGGCCTTTACGCTCACGATAACGAAAAATTAGTAACGGTATTGACAAGTATTAAGGTCTCTATGTAGGGTATTTACGTAGTGTAAAAATCTTTTTGGTAACTTCAGTTCCCTCTTTTAGAATTCTGAGTTGTTTTAGAAGTACGTGAAGTTGACGATCTCGACAGGAAGGAGTCTTTCTGCGACGTAAGGGTTGGAAATTTTACAATTTTGTAGAAAGACATAACCTAAGCAACTTGTGCTTACATTTTTTGTCAAAGAGATGCTGATTTGAAACCGTTGTTACATACAGTTACGGCATTTCCTGTTTCTGCCGGAGAGAGGGGAGTTTGTCCCAAAGCTTGCTGCTGTATTTACTCCCTCCATCTGACAGGAGGGAGCCTCATGTGTCACTCCACGGAGTTTGCTCCGTCTTGGAGGGAGAGTGTGTAGGGGTAGGGCGTGGTTTGGGATTGGGCCAGAGTGTAGTGACACTGCTGACCAATCGGAGGGATGGTTTCAAAAAAACTATAAAGCAAGATGCATTGTTTTTGTTAATATCATTTTTGTGACATTACATGTGTTGCTATTTGCCCTTTTCTATATGGTCCTGTGCATACTATACGCTGTTCAATTAAAAATAACACAAATTACGGGGTCGAAAAGAGTAATGTAAATGCTCAAGTTCTAACTAGAGTCCACTTCAGTTTTGAGTACAAGGTTTTGCTCTTGGTTTATAAATCTGTTAATGCAGGCTCAATGTCTTTTAAAGATGTTCAATATTAATGCCAGAAGTGTCAAATATATAGTATATCTTACCATTTCCTATGTTATTAATGAGTATAACATTATTTATTTACTAAAATGTTACTCACTATCTTTGAATTTTAATTTGAAAGGGTAACTACATTTTTTAAGGATACCTTATATAAGTATACCTCAAGAGTATTTTATTATAGACATGTTTTCATTTTAGTATACCTACAGTGTGTTCCCTTGTTAGTGTACCTACAGTGTTTTCCCTTGTTAGTGTACCTACAGTATTTTCCTTTGTTAGTTTACCTCCGTGTTTTCCCTTGTGTGTGTACCTACAGTGTTTTCCTTTGTTAGTTTACCTCCGTGTTTTCCCTTGTGTGTGTACCTACAGTGTTTTCCTTTGTTAGTTTACCTCCGTGTTTTCCCTTGTGTGTGTACCTACACTGTTTTCCTTTGTTAGTTTACCTACGTGTTTTCCCTTTTGTGTGTACCTACAGTGTTAGCGGAGCGTCCGGGGCCTCGCTGAGCTACGATGGCCCCTGAGATGGCCTTAATCCAGCTGTGCATGTCCTCTGGACTGTCAGCCTGAAACACAGGGAGAGAGAAAGACAGGATGGGATCATGTTTCATTGTTTTTCAAGGAAAAGTCAATTGTAAATGCATAAATAGTATTATTACTGCAGTGCTAATAATGGCACAGTGTTAAAAGCCTGAGAGAGAAACATTAAGTGAAATTCCAAACTGAGATTATAAAAACAATACATATCTGTGTTCTCTATGAGGCTGATTAAGGACAGCATGCGCACTGTGTATCATGATCTTCTTAGTGTAGCGTGTTAGTATGCTAACATTAGCTAATTCAATTTTGCTGAGGGGAACATGTAATTGTGGAACAAATTACATTACAATCCATCAAATAGTTGTAGAGACCATTCACAAGAGTGAGTGAGTTAGTTAGGGGATCACCACGTCAAGATTTGTAATAAACTTTATCTCCATCATCCATCCAATAGTTGTTGATATTATTTCAGTGTGAGTACTGAATTGCAGAACAGATGGAACAAGAAACACTTTGCTAGCATGGCTAAAAAAAACATTTTTTTTCACAAAAATGTAAACTATTGGTCCTTGGGTTTACGAAAGGCTGGATATACATTTGACTGACTGACAGATTTATCTTCATGTGTGTTACCTGCATGTAGAAGGTTCTGGAACTGGTGACCATTTCAAACAGGTTGTCCCTCATCATCAGATCACTGCAGAACAGAGACGGTTATTAATGAGCTGCCATGTGATGCCTGGCAGCAGCAGCACTGATTCATGAACGCCTCACAGGAACTCACTGACCTCTGTTTGCACTCTTGCACCTTGTGAATCTCCTTCAGAAGGATGACTCTCAGGGCCTCTCTCTCCTGCAAGGAACACAAGAGATAACTATTATACACACACACACACACACACACACACACACACACACACACACACACACACACACACACACACACACACACACACACACACACACACACACACACACACACAAGCAAAAACATGCATACAATAACGTATGGTGATTCCAAAACGCACAGACAATTCAATTAAAAAGCATTCTTAAGGAGCCTTATTCTGCTCATTTTCATGTTCATATTTGTATTTCCTGTCTCTCCTGTGACATCTTCTTTAANATACTCCCAGGGCCAGCAGTTTAATTGGTTTCTCGCCCTAAATCCCCTATTTTCTCCCCCTAAAATGGGTGTCATTATCACCCCAATACAGTGTATGTGAGGCTGCAAAATGCCTGCCAGCAATCTTCTAGTCAGGCTTTACTTGTCTATTTGGAAAAACATGATGCAGCGATAGAAGAAAGAAAAAGAAAGACCAAGTTCAAGTTGAAGCAGATCTTGGTATTTTTCTCTCTCTTGTCCTCGGGGGAAAAGATAAAACGGTTGTTTGCGCCACTCATTTATTGCTTAGCCCGGTAAAAAGATGTCTGATACATGAAACATAACACACAACACAGGCTCATCACACACCCACTGTGTCTGCCATTACATAGCACATTTAGCAAGTTTAACACTTGTACAGCTGTTAAATCAAAGCAGTCGATTGTGTACTTTTCTTTTTTGGCCCTTATGCAGCGTTCTTGCTGAATTGAATCCTGCTGCCCGAGATTGGGATGAAGCGAGAAAAGAGTGAGGGAGATGAGAAATCATTAAACGTACTTATAGAAGTATGAAAAGCGTCTGGGTATTAGCTAGATTCTGGCTGCTGAATGTACCTGCCGGGAGCCAAAGCTTGTGCCTGTGTGGTTTTTGTGTGTTCTGTGTGTGTGTGGTGGGTGTGTGTGTGTGTGTGTGTGTGTGTGTGTGTGTGTGTGGTGTGTGTGTGTGTGTGTGTGTTGTGTGTGTGTGTGGTGCTGTGTTGTGGTGTGTGTTGTTGAATAAAGTGCCCACTCATTCATTGTGATGTTGAGGACAGTGTTGACCAGAGCATCACTGATAGCCAGGCGGCTTGTACTTCCCAAACAGATCTCTCTATAGAAGACAGCAGTCAGGAAGAGGAAGAGCACTGTTAACAGTTCTGACTGTACTGTGTGTGGTGTGCTGTCTTGTTGTTGGTGTGCGTGTGGTGTGTTGTGTTGTGTGTGTGGTGTGTGCTTGTGTGCGCTGCTTGCTGTGTGTGGTGTGTGCCTGCTGTGTGTGTGTGTGTGTGTGTGTTGTTGTGTGTGTGTGTGTGCTGTGTGTGTGCTGTGTGTGTGTGTGGCTTGGCTTGCAGGACATAAGGATCTTCACTTACAGGATCTGCAACTGCTGAGCAACTCTGACAGGACTGTATGTTGTCTTCAAGAGGAATGCTTTCACCACAGCTAGAACTTTCATTTGCTCTGAGTGTGTGTTGGTGCTGTGGTTTACTTGTTGTGCTTAGGCGCTTTTCACACCGGTAGTACTTTTCCCAGAAATAGTTCCTATAGTTCCTGGCGAATGTTGGCCTGGGGAGAAAAAGGTTTCCAATTTCTGATTGGCGCTGGGCGAATTGCAAACCACGCCCCCGTAAAACTCGGAAAAGTGTTTGTGAAGCCGGCCATTTTATTTCCTCGGCCATGAGCATTATTAGCCATTAGCCCAGCGCACACCAATGGAGACAGACAACCTTTATGGCAAACACAAAATAAAACCTGGCGACCGCTGGAGCTTCGGGTGGCGATTTACTGCCACCAAAGTCCCGGGACTCGGGGGGCTCCGGGGACTTCGGGGTGGCAGTATACGCCGTGAAGTTGTTTGCGGCCTGCCAGTAAACCCAAAGCAGAAGAAGAAGAAGTGACGTCAGCGGCTTCATTTGCGTAATCCTCCCTCAGGGACTTATTCCGGTGTGAACGCGATTTACTAGATAGTTCCGGGGAAATAAAAGTTCCGGGGAAAAGTTCCGGGAACTATTCCTGGGAAAAGTACTTGGTGTGACAGCGCCTCTTGTGTTGTTGCGAGCCTCTTTATGAAACCCTATAGCCGACTGCTGTACAGCTATGCCTATGCCTAAAATACCTAGATTTAATACCTGTGTTCTTCTAACTTCCTGTCTCAACACGCAGCTTCAGAGGTGCTGACTGCTCTCTGGAGCGATGCTGACACATATCCGCTGATGCTGTCTGGGCTCATAGGAAGTGCAGTTAAACAGCTATCACAATTGAACAGTGTTTATCTCCACGGAAATGTTGCCAGGCACCTCGGCTCACAGTTTGAGGAGTCTCCTGTTAAATGCTGTAAAGAGTTTGAAGCCGAAAAGGAGAGCGCATCAAGGTGGTTGCGGGCATCAAAGGCCCTGACGTTGAGGAGATTTACAGTAAAAGCCTTTCTGCTCCACTCAGGCCCATGTTCTGTCAGGCCTGCCAGGCTCACAGTTTGCAGTCATCAGACTTAACTGGGTTGGAAGTATTCCTTTAACTAATGTATGACTAGCTGCTTGTCTTAAAAAGCTATTCTTTAGCTGAATAGCGTAAAAAACATCCTTTATGCAGTGGAGCGCACACATCGAGTGACATGTTTTGCTGACTTAACTTATGTTATCTAGTTTCATTTTAATGGTCTATCTTGTCAGTTTTCAGTGCTGGAGTGTAATATTTACTCGAGTACTATACTTAAGTTAAAATGTTGCAGTGCTTGTATGTACTTTACTTGTGCTTTATATTTCTACTCCACTACATCTCAGAGGGAAATATTTATCTGACTTTATATATTATTAATATTATTATTAATCGGAAATAAAATCACCTCTCTGAAGAACCAGCACCTTACCGTGGTAGAGAGGTTTGTGTGCCCTGATGAACCTGGGGGCTGTGTTGTCTGGAACCTTGTGTTCCTGGTAGGGTCTCCCATGGCAAATTGGTCTCAGGCAAAGGGTCAGACTAAGATTGGTTCACAAGACCTCATGAAAGACGACACACGAAGTGAGGATACCCGGCCCGGAGGAAGCCCGGGGTCCCCTTCTGGAGCCAGGCCCAGAAGGAGGACTCGTCGGCGAGCGTCTGGTGGCCGGGCTTGCCACGGAGCCCGGCCGGGCACAGCCCGAAAAGGCGACGTGGGCAACACCTCCGCTTCTCCGTCCCGCGGGCCCACCACCTACGGGAAACAGCGATGGGGTCGGGTGCGCTGCCAGAAGGGTGGCAGTGAAGGCAGAGGATCTCGACGGACCAGACCCGGGCGACAGAAGCTGGCTTTGGGGACGTGGAACGTCACCTCTCTGGGGGGGAAGGAGTCGGAGCTTGTGCGGGAGCGGGAGGTGGAGCGTTACCAATTGGATCTGGTTGGGCTCACCTCTACCCACAGCGTCGGCTCTGGAACCTTACTTCTGGATAGGGGTTGGACTCTATTCTTCTCCGGAGTTGCTCAAGGTGTGAGGCGCCGGGCGGGTGTGGGGATACTCACAAGTCCCCGGTTGGGTGCTTCGTTGTTGGAGTCACCCCAGTGGACGAGAGGGTCGCCTCCCTACGCCTGCGGGTTATGGGGGGGAAAACTCTGACTGTTGTGTGTGCTTATGCACCCAACAGCAGTTCAGAGTATACGGCCTTCTTGGAGACCCTGGAAAGAGTCCTGTATGGGGCTCCTGAAGGGGACTCTTTAATCTTGCTGGGAGACTTCAACGCACATGTGGGCAATGATGGAGACACTTCGAGGGGAGTGATTGGGAGGAACGGCCCCCCTGATCTGAACCGGAGTGGTGGTTTGTTACTGGACTTCTGTGCTAGTCATGGATTGGCCATAACAAACACCATGTTCGAACATAAGGATGCTCATAAGTGTACGTGGTACCAGAGCACCCTAGGCAGAAGGTCCATGATCGATTTCGTTATCGTATCATCGGACCTGAGGCCGTATGTTTTGGACACTCGGGTGAAGAGAGGGGCGGAGTTGTCAACTGATCACCATCTGAGTCCATGGTTCTCAGCAGGAAACCGATGGACTGTCCACTCCAAGTAGGGAATGAGTCCTTACCCCAAGTGAAGGAGTTAGTATCTCGGGTCTTGTTCTCGAGTGAGGGAACAATGGAGCGTGAGATGGGTCGGAGAATCGGAGCAGCGGGAGCGGTACTGCAGTCGCTTTACCGCACCGTTGTGACGAAAAGGGAGCTGAGCCAGAAGGCAAAGCTCTCTGTCTACCGCGCCATTTTCGTTCCTACCCTCACCTATGGTCATGAAGGATGGGTCATGACCGAAAGAACGAGATCGCGGGTACAAGCGGCCGAGATGGGTTTTCTCNGAAAAGGACGCGTTATTAATGAGCTGCCATGTGGATGCCTGGCAGCAGCAGCAGCTGCACTTCATGAACGCCTCACAGGAAACTCACTGACCTCTGTTTGCACTCGATGCACTTTGAAGTCTCCTCAAGAAGATGGACTCTCAGGGCCTCTCTCTCCTGCAAGGAACACAAGAGATAACTATTATACAACACACACACACACAACACACACACACACACACGACACACACACACACACACCACACACACACACACACACACACACACACACACCACACACACACACACACCACACACACACACACACACACACACACACACACATCACACACACACACACACACACACACACACCTCACACACACACATACACATACACATACACATCCACACACACACATACATACACACACACACACACACACACACACCAGCAAAAACATGCATACAATAACGTATGGTGATTCCAAAACGCACAGACAATTCAATTAAAAAGCATTCTTAAGGAGCCTTATTCTGCTCATTTTCATGTTCATATTTGTATTTCCTGTCTCTCCTGTGACATCTTCTTTAAATGCTTTAATGTTCAGAAAGCTCTTTATTTTCCTCATACTGCCTGTGCTGCGGCACCTCTTTTCACCCTCTGTCTGAAACCAGAGCCCAGTCTGCTCTGATTGGTTAGCTGGCCTGCCCCTTAGCCTATCACGTCAAATGTGTTGGTGCACTAGCCAATAGAAGCATGAGTGTTACGTAGTGATGTAATTATGTGATACGAGTAAGCAAAGGAGTCCAATGGATTTTAGACCATTTACATGCGCAAAAATCTATGTAACCGATACAGGAAAGGGAAACCCCAAAGCTCAATAGAGCCATAATGAGTTTTTTTTTTGTAGTATATGAATTTAAAATGACATCTCCCTTCCTCACCTAAACTGCTTCATCATTTGTGCTGCTTGATTAAGTTGCCAGCTTTTATTTAATGAGATATCATTAGTTCCATCTTCCATTAGAGCCAGCTATACAGCTCACACTTATTATTGTTCCTCTGAGAAATAGAAGATACGCCAACTACTGTGTGTGTGATGTGTGTATGGTTGCATAGCTCCGTGGTGATTATATTTTACACTATTTATTTTATTTGCTGCTCAATGTTGAAAGTACAGAACACACAGTGAACATTTTAAAGTGGGCGGGGGATTCCTACTTAGTGGCAACAGTCTAAGGAAAGGATAAGCAACCTGAGGCACATTTGTTATTTGTGATTTTGGGCCAAATACTAATTAATTATTAAAATATAATTACAAATAATAAATCCATATAAATACACTAAACTAAAAGGAAGAAAATGTGATTGATTAAGAGCTCTATATCCAAGAAAACTTGCCTCTGGTGTTGATAAATAAAACATATTTTTTCCATGCTTCCTCTTCCCTTGCAAAAACCCACTTTAAACTATAAGTAGGCGCCTATACACATTAGATATTAAGCTCATACACTTTATTAAAACCATTCCTGGTCTGCATTCCTGCTCAATGATCTGTTTGACACCATGTCCGATACTCAAAGAGGTAAAAGTCTCTATAATACATACAGATGGATCTCTAACCCTGGACTAATGATTACTTTCTCAAAGTATATATCATCACATAATCCAGCCAAAACTGCTAGTGGTAAAAAAAGAGGCCACTTATATACTACTTAATTATCATTACATTTCTACCTTCACATGCTGATTAGCTCAACAACCCACAGCTCAAACTTTCTGCTGGTTACTGACTCATCATAGTTGACATTATATAATTATAGACTATTTAAAGAGCACCTCTGGTAAACTGCATTGATTTCCTCTTCTCATATCAGACTTTAGTTCAGCTGCATCATCTGTAGCTGTCAGGCTGTCTTATGATACACTGAGGTTGATACTATACAGTATGTTTTAACATGTGTTTGCATTCATGAGCTTCATAGTATCATTTGGTTGGCAGCTTCAGAATATATTTGACACACACACACACACACACACACACACACACACACACACACACACACACACACACACACACACACACACACACACACACACACACACACACACACACACACACACACACACACTGTCTGTACTCACTGTGTCGACTCCTGCCAGCAGCAGCTCGGTGATGCTGCCCAGGATCTCTGTGACGGTCATCTGGTCGCTGAGCAGCAGGTGTGTGAGGTACGCTCCCTCCACCTGCTGCTTCAGGTGCACCTGCTGCTGGATCTGTGCCATCTTCTTCTGCACCAGCTCCTCCGCTGAGAGACAAACAAGTTTAGCATTTGTCATCGGAAAGAAATATGTTCCTGCAAAAACATTTGTGTAATACACTCAGGGTTCATACACTTTTTCACCAATGATTTTCCATGACTTTTCCTCCATGACCTTTACCTAATTTTCCATGACCAAAAAAATAACTCTTTCTCAGCGTACCACTGGAAATGATTTATTTGAACATGGAACAGGAAATTAAGGTCTGCATATGAAACATGTTGTGCCTATCTAAAACATACTTAGCTTCTAAACGCTAAAGCAACTCAAATCTCTCACCAGCAAAAAACCTCGTCAGTTAAAAGCCATTTTACTTTTCATTTCTATACGATACAGTATTTATTATCATTATAATATTACTATTTCGGCGATTAGCTAAAATATAAATTATATTTGATGCAACTTTAGTTACATTTCCATGACTTTTTCAAAACTTTGGGAAATATATTGTTTTCCAAAACTTTTCCAGGGCCTGGAATTAGCATTTTGAATTTCCATGACTTTTCCAGGTTTTGAATGACCGTAAGAACCCTGTATACTATTTTTTCATGTTAATATTATTTTTGTATGTTGCAATGTTGGAGGAGCCTGAGACTGTCACTGCCTAACATTTAAATAACTCTCTTTTTTCAACTGAAATGTATTTAGTCCTTAAAGAAAACAGGCAGGATATTCAATTTAAAAAGTAACGATAAGTATTCTTTAAAAATAACAACACAATATGTCATTTATAAGTATATATATTACGTAAACTCTTCATCGTTGCAGGTTTGTATGTCAATGATTGTAACACCACATTATAAAGAAGAATACTGCATTTTGTGCAGAATGGCACCATTGTTTCTCATGGGAGAGAATACATATTATTTTCCATGTTCCTGAAACTTACTTGCACCAATATGTCTTTTGCACAGGAGCCTGGGATTTCAGTATTTCATTGACAAAACTACACTGCAGCTATTGTGTATATGATGAATAAACCCTTTCAATCCTTTTAAAGAGGCCCTATTAGGCATATATTATACAATTATGAAACCTGAAAATGATCACGATAGGGCCCCTTTAAAACACAAGGAGGAAACTGGCTCGATACTTTTGCCCACTAGATGGCGAAAGAATCAACACAGAAGGAAAAAGGGCCTTGTGAGCTGTGAGGTGGACTTTGTGACTTTGAGAGAGTCACCAGTCTAGTGTCCTTGAAATTATTTGATAACGCAAATGACCATGAAGCCTGAGCTTTAGCAACCCTTTTTCTGTGATAACAATCAGTGAGGAGGATTGGCAGAGAAAGAGCTGCACACAAACAGCAAAGGGTTCATGTTGTAATACTTGAAATTCCTCAAAGCAAGAGAGGACATGTTATATTAACTTACATAGGCTACTTTGTTTCACGTGAGTAATATGTCATTGTCAATCTCATGTTGTTTTGGAAATGTCCTACAGTCCCAGGTAACCATTAGTTTACATTTGAACATGATTAGGAAACATGCTTGAATAGTAGAAACCATTAGAGATAACATTATTTAAAAAAACAAAACAAGAATCAAGGATGTTCTAGTTTTGATTCTGATATTGAACAAACAAACCATTTTTCTGTAACAAACGGCCTAAAACAGGTTATATTTCCTCACAGATTTTGAAGAGGTAATCCCAGGCGGCTGCAAACTGTTTCCAGAAGGGGATGTAGGGCCAGATTCTCTTTGGGAAGAGGATGATGACGTTGGAGAGACGAAACATTTCACCCACGGAGACGATGAACTTCTGTGTTTCCTCCGGCACCTCCTCGTTCAAGCAGCCCATACGAGTCTCAAACAACACTGAACAGATACCTGCGTTTAAAAAGATATACAACAAATATTATAACTCATCTGTTTGCTATCCTGGCTACAAAGTGGTGGTTTAGTTAAGCAAAGTTTACACATCTTACACCTTGGCCAATAAAGAACAATTCACTTATTTTTTTTAGCAAAATGAAACATTGATTTAGGGGGATTTTGGTTGATATTATGTTCCATTTGTTACCACATTTGTTTGATGGGATTGGGTTCAATTACTTCACACTAAACTGGTTATTTAAACAAATAGCTCCTGGCTATGTGGCATTGCAAAGTTAAAACAGGACACAGCCCAATAACATATAATCGTTTGCTGCTGCAATATTATTGTCTTCATTGTGTTATTCTTCATACCATGTGTCTTACACAGCCCTTTTGCCGTAGAAGCCTGATATACAAAGTTAATCCATAATTTTATAAGAAAGCTGCTGTTTAAAGGAATATATTGACATTTTAGGGAATGTTTATCTGCTTTCTTTCTCAGAGTTTGATTTAAAAAATCAATACCACTGTCAAGGCTGCCAGTTATATGAAGCTACGGCTAGTTAGCTTAGCGCTTAGCTTAGCAAAAAGACTGTACACGGAGGGAAACAGCTAGCTTGGCTTTGTAAGCTGTAAACCTCTCTAAAACCATTTTTCACTCTTATCATACATATTAAACCAAATAAAGCCAGACCTGCTCTTTCAGCCTGTTTCCAGTCTTAAGGCTGAGCTAAGTTAAGCTAAGCTAACCAGCTGGTGGCTGTACAGTAGCTTCATATTTAGCACAAAGACACTAGAGCTGTATCATTCTCACCCTTGAGTTATCTGAAGAAAATGAAATAAGCATGTTCCTAAAAATGTCAAACTAATTTCTCTGTGTACATAAACGTAGTATCTAATCAGGAGTCAAGGCCAAAACACCCAACAACTGTCTCAGAGTTTACGCCCTGACTGACTGACAGCACACAAATGACACATTGATGTATTAATGGATGACTAATTCTCTGCTTTGCAAGAATAAAGAAGTGTGGTTATAATCGTTATTTTGCAAGTATGAACAAGTAATATCTAAAGTTTGCTCCTCATTCTGCACATTTAATAATTGTATTTAAGTTACATTCTGAATTTAGGGCTTGCACTTGAGTATTTTAGGGTAGGCCTACTTATATTTGTAAATGTACGTAAAGCATCTGGGAAATTCTTCCACCAAGGTAAAATGAAGGTCCCGACTTCTTAATCATATTAACTACATTTAAAAGTAGCCTACAATACTTGCTAATAGTACTGTTTTGACACAATCGTACTTAGTACTGAGTATTTCCATTTGATGGTATTTTACTTCTAGTCCACTACATTTCAGGGACATATATTTAGTTTTTACTCCACTACAATTATTTAAAATTAAATATATTATTAGTTACTTTTGCGTATTGAAACACAAGAAATCCATTTTGAAAAAGTGCAACATTAACAGGTTCTTACATGATGTCTCAGTGAATAAAACAGGATAAAATATCATTATATAATAATAAAATACTGTGAAAAGGGTCACAAGTATTTACTTCATGTACATTTAGCTAATTATACTTCTTACTTCTAGCAGTGGATCAAATGAACCAACTACTTATTTTACACAAAGTAAAGGATCTAAGTTCTTCTTTCAGCTCTGTATGTGTGTGGTATGTTGCTTCTAGCTATGTCTAGTACTTTTTAGATGATATCAGTGATTCACTTTAAAGATTAACAGAAGGAACACATCCTGCAGAGCACTTTGAATGTTATTATCCATTAAACTTGTGTTGAACTATAACACAGTTAATCTTTTTTCATTCAATGTAAGATGTATTTCACCAGTTACTTCTTCTAACTGAATGTCTTTCCCTCTAAAAATCTCTCTATTGCTAATCCAGATGTTTTCTGTTGACTTTCCACAGCTGAATTGTTCACTACTGACCTTCAAAAGCAAATTTGTAGAGTTCCTCCGTCAGGTCGTTGACCATCACTCCGCCTCCGTTTGTATCCCTGAGCCAGGCCACTCTGTGGATGAAGTCCGTCACCACGTCGTTGACGGTGTTCGTGTAGGAGGAGACGTGTTTGGGCTTCAACATCCGAGGGTTCAGGATGCTGCGGATGCGCTGCCAGTTGGCCCCCATTCTACCAAAAAACAAGGAAGATTAATTAAGATTAATACGAAATAAGAAAATGGGCTTCAAGGTTTCACGTTTCAAGGCTTTCATTGTCATGTGTACATAGCTACAGTGTAGTTATGACAATGACAATCTTAGGTCACAGGCTCCTCCAACAGTGCAACACAATAAAACAGACAAAAGTGCAAGTAAATAAAATAAAATAGAATATGATAGAAACAAAATGAGATAAAGTGGTTTAATAAACGTTCGTCAAACTCAAATGTATTGTTCTGTAACATGGGATTGTGGTTCTTTAACGCACTTTAAAAACCCTTATTTTCTTTTAATTGTTTGTTCCAATTGTATTTATGTTATATTACCTTGTCAAACTCTCTTTGTTTAATGATGTGTTGCTGGTATTTGGTACATTTTGTTCACCGTGTGTGTTTAAGCTCTTCTGTTTAAATGTGAAAGCCCTTTGGAACTTTGTTTGAAATATAAAGAAAACTTGTTAAATTTGCCTTGTGAAGTTTACTTTATTTTGGTATTTTTCAACTTATTCAACCCAAAATACACATATGAAAAATAATAAATAAACAATGATACTGTAGGTCCTTGCTAGTGACAACCTATCAAATGTAAACTGACTGAAAATGTGTAGCCTCAAGCTAGTTAGCCTTAAACATTTCGTATTTTGTAAAAATATACACTAAAATATGAAAGTGTATTCAAAGCCTGAGTCATTGCAATCCTCTCCATCAAAAAACTATTAAAAACACCTCATTGAGTGTTGATTTCATTACCATTAACCCAGTGTAGTATAATGAATATGACTCCTTACTTGCATCTATACTCCACTAAACGTACTGTCCAATAGTCTTGAAAGAGCCAAAAACCACATTTGGTTAAACAACTCTCACTTGTGAACCTAATGGATGAAACATGTTTGCAACAGCTGGAGTAATTCAGGAGGTTTTAGGGTTTAGAGTTCAGGCTTTTCTCTGTTGTAACAAAATTAGCTGACGATGACGAGCGCTGCCTCAACAGGTCTGACAAGAAAAACCTGATAACAGCAAAAAAAAGCTGCTATTAGACAATCAAAAACAACAATTGTCGTCCTGACTGGGTCTGACTGGAGCCTTATGATTTTTTATAAATATAGTACAAAGTACAAAGCAACTAATACAGTAGTTTCCGAGGAATTATACTTAGATAGGACTTATATAAATGACATCCTATTTTAAATAAGTATCTATAACATTGGACAGTATGTTTTGTTCTGCTTTTAAAATTACATTAAATGTCACTAGATGCTTCCATGGCGACTTAATTTCATTCAATACTGTGAGCAAACCCCTCAATACTGTGGGGTGAAGTGTTTTTCCCAGGGACACAATGACATGCTGACTGTAGTGGGACTCGAACTTGCCCTCCCCTGGTCTGAAGATGAGCGCAATGTTCCACTGAGCCACATCCTCCCTTTTGAGGCTTTAAGTTAGCAAATTAATTTGGGTATATCTTCATAAATTACGAGTCAAATTCCCCAGGTGTTTTTTTTTTATGAGCTGTAAATAACACAAAGAGGGGATTGTGTGCAAAACAATGAATCTCACTCTGACTGAGGAGTCCTTTTAGGAGTTTATTCTGAAGACTGTTTTACAACTACTATGGAACTTACTGTGGACGGACGGGATCAAATAAATCAAGCTAGAGGATCTATCAGAATCAGAATACTTTGAACCTTCCCACAGAGGGGATTTTTACATTTGTTACAGCAGAAAGAGCCAAAAACAGTTTAATGTTAACTAAAAAGCATGCATAAGAAAAACATTAAAGATTAAGAAAATACAAAATACACATCTGTAATGATGTAGCAGCCAGATATATATTGCACAGTAATTAACGGCATATATTGCACATAGTTGGTATGGGGGGTTTACTCACTCAGTCAGGGGTCCGTAGGCATGGTTCCTGACCTCCCTGTATCTCCTCCAGTGGGGCATGTCTGTGCGGACCGGGTGCCTCCCCTCCTGCCTCAGGACCTGCTCGATCAGCTCAGCGGTCGCCACGTTCACTACGACCAGAGGCCCGAACGTTGACTTCCACAGAGGGCCGTAGATCTTCCTGTGCTCAATCTGTGGGCAGTGTGGAGATATTGGATGTGTGATTTACCAAAGAACCTCACTTGAGCTGCCTCCTGCAGGACGGATCAATTTGTTATTTCCGCAGTGTTCAACACATCAATTTACTTAGGGTCTAAGGAAATATGAACTTGAGTTTTGTTATAGTTGAATTGATTCTCAAACACACTTTAGGTTTTTAACGAGTTAACTTTCTATTTATTTGTTAACCTTAAGAATCCTTTTTTAATCAATGTGTTCAGATTGCACAAAAGTAATACTATGATGTTTGATATTACAGGGACTGTGAATTTTTAACATGATTTTATGCATATGGTGGTGCTTTCTCTTTACACTATGACAGATTGTAGATTTTATTAATCACAATATAATGCCTTCGTTAAGGCTAATTGTGACTATACTGAATGTCCTAAACAGTTTGAGAAGAAACGCAAAGCATGTGGTTAATAATACGTATATTACCTAGGAGCACAGATGCAAATTTCTTCTGTGGAAAAACAGGTTCAGCAATTGAAAGTGTAAAGGTAAAGCCTTGTATTATTATATAGTTTTCATAAATGTATTGTATGTGTTGTGTAAAACAAATGTCAGGACAATAGGTACAAAAACATTGCAGACTCTGATGCCAATGTAATGTCTTTAAATTTCAAGTTTTGTCAATATAAAACCCAAATATGTTAATATAATTGAAAAACCGAGAACATCTCTATATGTGAGATGCTGAAAACAGACTTTTCTGCAATATTGGCATTACAACATTGTTATAATATTTGTGAGTGTGACCTTGATTTAACATTTAATTTGTCAATGCTGCCAGCAACACAAATACAATTGAGTACATTTCCATTCAGCACTGGGTTCAGGGAGTGCATCTGATATGCAAAACCACAGTAGACACAACTTCATAACAGTCTGCCTGCACAGAGACCTGCCAAAATAGGTAAATAAGTACACTAATGGATTGAATTTACTTTGTGTTAACTACTTGCTTTACGTTCATGTTAACTTGTGATGCAATCGAAGACAGTCTCCATAAATAAATGATATGGTCTGACAGGTCGAAACCGAACAACAACACAGCAGTCCTTTCATCCACAGAATCCCTCCACGTACCTGCATTTGTTGCGCCTTTTTGAAATAGCCCTTTACAAAAAGCCAGTTTAAAGTGGACATCAAACTCGGTCCGCCTAAATCATCCATGGTTTTCTGTTTCACGGAGTCATTTATCACGGTGGTGGTGGTGGTGGCTGCGTCACGGCGGTGGATGCCCGCATGATTCCCCGCATTCAGGCCGGCTTTAGCCGTCTGAATCCCGGCGTGCTGCTGCCGGTTCACCCGCAGTCCGAGGCTCACCAGAGATTTCCTCAACATTTTCACTGCAGGTGTGTTTTTCCTGCAGCTTCTGAGGTAGAAACAGGCACGACAGCAGTGTGTGTGTTGGTGTGTGTGTGTGTCAGATAATAATGGCTCCCTGTTTATAGCTGCAGGCCGCTTTTTAAACCAAGGCTCCGAGCCAACTGTGGACTTTGTTACCCATAAATCTCCATGTTTGTAACATGCACATCCAAAACCAATAAGCTGATTATGTACTTATAAGACAAGATTGATTACTAAAAAAACACATCTGAATAGTGATATTTAACATTTTTAAGAGGTTTAACTTAATAAATAACGTATTTAGGTGTAAAACACGGGCACCCGAAGAGCGTAGGCTATACACCTCCAAATCCTGCAATATTAACACAAGTAAAACATGACGTGTGTCTGCCCAGTAATTGGGATCCGATCCAATTTTCTATGGGTTCTCCCTCTGACATGCTACATACTTCCAATAAGTTCCATGACAATCGGTCCAGTAGTTTTTCTCTAATCGTGCACCATGCCTCTTGTCTTGTTTATTGTGTGTGAATATTTGATTGGGTCACTTAAACTCAATGGGTTTTGTCTAAAACTAGACTACTCACTAAATAATTTAGATCTTGCTGAGCTCAATATGTAGGTAAAGGTATTTATTGAGTTATTAAGAGTTATTTATTTTCACTATATCTGTAAAGCGTCTTTGAGCACCTGTAAAAGCGTTAACAAAATACATATATTATTATTATTAAATGTGCAATGTATTAAACTGCCTTCTGGAAAACTGATCAATTTAGTATGATTACACACATCCCAACACATGATGACAGCGATATGTATTGTATAATAGTGTATGGGTTCTCAAAAACTATACATTTAAATAGAATATTTATTATGCATTTCGTGTATTTGTGCTGCATTCACGGATGTTTCTGCCACCAGAGGGCGACTTCTACTTTGCTTTCAGATGGGATAAATCTTTACAATATGCCATCAGAATTTGATTTCAATACTTTTTTTGTAGTTAGTTAATTAGTATTCATGTGTCAAATAAATTGTGTACTTGGATCAATCTTGCCGTGTAGAGCTGTGTGTGTGTGTGTGTGTGTCATAACGTTTGTTTATCAGCTATTTTCAGTGGACTGCATTTCTACTTGTGTTTTTAAATTGCAACGACTGTTATTTGACTCAGTTCATAACAAAGACTTCAGGTTGTAACCGGCTCTGACCTCGTATAATTACAATTAATAGTATATACGTACACCTATCTATTAGCTTACATGGCACATGGTAACACCCTTACAAGTGTTTTTGCTTGTGACTCTCAAAGAAGACTGTCAACATGTCGTCACAAGTTCTGGCTTATAAATGTGATATGAACAACAGCGAGTTTTTTAAAGATGCCTAGTTAAAAGTGTATGGATGATTTCATTGGTTAAACTGTTATTGGTATTTACAAAATGTGTTGAAATAACACCTTGCTTGTTTGGCCTCGACAAAATCATTATAATCGTCACAAATGTAACGCAGTTGTTGTACTTACTTTGAATAGAAAATGATCGTTCTATTGTTTCTCTATTCTGATCCAACGGGACAAAGTAAAAAGCTTGTGCCAAACTATGAACCTAATCAAAGCACTTCATTTCCCCCTTGATGGGAAACAAAGGAAATAAAAAAAGGAAGGAAGCTTACGTCCAGGATATCCTGCAGTAACGGGCGTAACCTCAGGGTCACTACGATCAGAACAAATGTAATGTAATCACAATAAAATCCACACATGGTTGCACAAAAATAAAAAAACAGATTAGGCAATGCAAAAGCACAAAAACTATTAAAATCTTTATTTTTCTAAAAAGAAATTACTCTCAAATAGTTTACAAATGATTCTCTGAGGCCACCGTTCTCCTTAAGGCTGAAACATTTTAAGACATCTTCAACCCTTATCATTCAGCTGGGATGCCAAATAAAGGCTGAGACATAGACAGCAACTTCCTGTACGCTGAGTCGGGGGCGCAGCAGGGAAATGGGGCTTGTGACAAAACAAGAAGAAGGCCTACGTTATAAAGGAAAATAACAAAAAGGCACACCAAGTTCTTAAAAGACTCGCATTGAGGTGCAGCATCAAAGCATCTGGCTTGTTTTGCGCAATACAGTTCATACTAACTTCCAATTGCTTGGCTTTTGATATATATATAGAAAATATATTAAGCAATTTGCTGATGTTCGAGTATATTTTGAAAATATAAATAATTAGATTCAAGTATTGCAGGTTTAAAGCTACAAAGCATGACCCTCACTGAGTCAACTAAGCGCACTACTTCGCAAGAAATCAGAACTACTTATAAACCCAGATATCACAGCAATCAAGGTTTCCATACATCTTACTTCTTAAAGCTGCAATGATCAATATTAATTATTACCTTACCTGAAGCAATAGCGAGCATTTTAGCGTCTTTCAGCTGATTGTTTTGGTTTTCTGGCCGACAAACTCCGCTCTTATCGACCTTGTTTTAAGTCAAAAGAGGCAGCTGTGATATGCCAAAATTACTTTGAATAAACGGTAAACTACCAGCGAGTGTCCAACAGAAGACGGACACTTTTAGCAAATAGCTGTGGGACATTTTGGGAGTGACTAATGGCTAAAGAGCCAGATATATTCCTCAGGGGTTGGTAAAGATCAACACAGCTTTAGTAGAATAAATACCGGACCAAAACTCTTCAGTTTGTTCACAACGCTACGAATGGATGATCAATGATGACTTCAGAGTGTGTAATGAAGAAACAGTTAGCTACAACTTTCTAGGTAGATAGTAGAAATGTCAATATGCAATTATTTAAATGTATCTAGCTTCTCATTTAAATAGTTTGTTGTCCTGCAGCTGGGTTTACAAAGAAAAAAGCTCTACATCTAACGTCACAACAACTCTAAAGGACAAAAGTAGAAGATAAATATCGCTGTGGTTCATCCTGAGAAGAAATAATTACTACCTCCATTTATATATCTGATGTTTTCAATTCGGTTTGTTTTTTTAGCATTATTACAGAAAAACTAATGGCATGATTTTTTATTTTTGGCCTGGTCAGAGGTCTGCGCTCTCCGACGGGCAGCTATCAGCTATTACTATCAGCTGTCACGGATTAATGTTTCCTATCAGAAACGAAAGCAGCTGAACTGAAGCTATCTACAGAAATCTGACCTAAGGCACGACAAACTATCCTAATATTGCTAAGCTGAAATGCAGGAACTCCAGAGGTGGTTAGGGACTGAGTGATGGGGACAAATATCCATCTGCACGACATACTGTAACCACCGCTGTCTTTCTGCCTCTGAAATGCTTAATGTGCACCCAGTGAGATGAAACACTTGAGATGGTTTGTTATCATTTACTGCTTCTCTTACACCAATCCCATCATGCCACTCTGAAATAAGGCATCCTTGTAACATACAGTTTTCACACCAGAAAAAAAAAGATCACAAAGCAAAAAATGTGACATAAAAATAGAAGTTTGTTGGCGGCGAAGCAACAAATGATATTTGCTAGCAGAAATGTGAATATGTCAAGGACAGAGTCCCGTATTAAAGGGAGTAAGACACTGACAGGTCTGTTCCCTGTTCCTTCACTCCTCACTGAAGACCCGACTGATGTCCAAACACGTCCTCATGTCGTTCAGTCACTCTCACTGCCGGATTCACTCAGCTGGAGGTCACTCTCTGCAACACAGGTACGTAGCAAAATGAACAATGAGATTGAGATGCTTAAAACATGAAGCCGTCATTAAACAACATTATATTAGAGTATATGGTTTCATTTCACTGCGTTGTGTTATCCTCTTTTCTGTTACTTTAACATTCTGCTGTAAAGTAGACGTGGAGCTAAGTCCCGTATGTCTCTGTCCAATAGTTCAAATTTATTCAAGAAAGATAAATGTAATCTTTTCCAAAACTAACAATATTTTATCTAAGAAAATATTCTGCTTAAATCCATTTCTGTTGATGTTTAGTTCTGTTTTCTCTGCCTTTCCCCCCCCCCCCTCGACTCTCATCTGTTAGCTTAAAGTGGACCTATCATGCTATATTTGAATAATATAGTGTAGGA